TCTGTCATTATTTCTTGAAGTAGGTTTTCAATTTGTTGCTCCCTCTCTTCTCTGCTGGCATCCCCACGATGCAAATATTGGTTTGTTTAAAGTTGTCCCAGAGGCTCCTTACACTATCTTCATATTTTTGGATTCTTTTTTCTTTTTCGGTTGGGATCTTTTTGGTTCTTCATATTTCAAATCTTTGACTTAATTCTTGGGATCCTCTAGTCTGCTGTTGGGTCTCTGTATTTTATTTTTAATTTTAATCAGTGTATGTTTAATTTCTGACTGGCCCTTTTCCATTTCTTTGGCATTCTCATTAAGATCCTTAAAGGTCTCACTAAGTTCCTTGGAGGTCTCACTAAGTTCCTCAGAGGTTCGTAGAAGATTCTTGAGTAACCTTGTAACTGTGGTTTTGAACTCTATGTCCTCCATTAGTTTGCTTTCCTCCATTTCTTTCATTTGTGACATGTTTCTTTGTCTCCGCATTTTTGGCTGACTGCGAGGACCCGTTGTGTCTATAGTGGAAGAACTGCTGTGCTGGAGACACCCGTATGGAGCAGGACTTGCTTCAGTGGGGCTTTGGTGCTCACTGAGTCTGTTTCTTGAGTGTGTCCCTTATGGATGTTAGGAGTTGAAATCTGGTATCTGACCAGGGGTACCCTGGCTCCTGGATCTCCAAGTCAACCACTGTGTGGGTCCACCCAGCAGTAGCTACAGCGATATCAATAGATTTCTCCTCTTTGTTTGGAATTTGGAAGTTTTGGAGCTCTCTGACACAGCTGCAGTTTGTTGGGGTAGGCTGCAAAAACGCAGGTGGTTCCTTTTGCCACTGGCACAGGTTGGGCGGGGATGTAAGTTGAGTGGGGCGGGGTCTCAGAGAATCACTAGGGTGGAGCAAACAGCAATGGTTGTCGTCAGTGTCTCCACGACTCCTCGACTCCTCGCATCTCCGGGACTCCTACTCCGCATCTCTGCATCCCCGAGTCCCGCACGCCCACAGCAACAATGATCCTTGCGAGCAGCTCTGTGAGAAAGCCACCCTCACTTTCTAAACTGCTGCAAGACAGTCCAGTTTCTCCCCGTAGGAGTCTGGGACCTCAGAATCTCGCCTTAAATGAGCTCAGTGCATTCGAGAGCTTGTCTCCCCTTCCGATTGAAAAAAACTGGGTATCCAGGTGCAGCCCACTTCGCGTGTGCCTTCATACCTCTGTTCTTGGTGCCTCTGCAGCTCCTACTCAGTCTCAATGCCCTTCTTTCTTTCTTTCTAGTTGTAGAACTTCCACTCGGCCAGCTTTCCCGTGGCTCTGGATGATAGCTGTTTTGTCTTATAGTTGTAATTTCAGTGTTGTTGTGGGAGGCAGCATGCGCAGGTTTATACCTTACGCTGCCATCTTGGTTCCCCCCTCAAAAGAATTTTTTTGGAATGTTGAGGAGGACTTCAAACCTGTTCCAGAGTGCTGGATACCAGCGAAGGAAATTGAACAATTAAATGGAAATCGATGCCTGATGAAAATGGACACATTCCTGGGTGGGTACCAGTGGAGAAAAACAACAAGCAGTATTGCTGGCATTCCTCTGTAGTTAATTATGAATTTGAAATAGCCCTGGTACTGAAGCTTCATCCTGATGATTCTGGTCTTTTGGAAATTACTGCAGTGCCACTATCAGACTTCTTAGAACAGACGCTGGAGCTAATAGGAACAAATATTAATGGAAACCCATATGGGTTAGGAAGCAAGAAGCATCTGTTACAACTTCTTATACCACATGGAGCATTTCAAATAAGAAATCTACCTCCCTTGAAGCACAGTGATCTGTTGTCCTGGTTGGAAGGTTGCAGAGAGGGTAAAATTGAAGGAATAGTATGGCATTGCAATGATGGCTGTTTAATCAAGGTCCATCACCATCATCTTGGTTTATGCTGGCCAATTCCAGATACTTACATGAATTCAAAACCGGTCATTATTAACATGAACTTGAATAAACATGACTATGCTTTTGATACTGTCTATTTAATCATTTTTCAAAAATAGATCATCAGAAATTTAGTAGGCTTAAAGATATAATACTCCATGAATAGACTGGAAATGTAATTAAAAACCAGCTTTATTGTTGTTATATTTGAATCTTGAATATTCTGCCATGTGTAAAAGGTGAAAATATCTCAAGGTTCCTATTTATTGTTCAGTGTCTAATGGAGAAATAAGTCTTCTAGTAAATGAATTTTAACCTCTGGATTTAAAAATGTAAGTAATAGTAAGCTCCCAAGCTTTTACAAAGGGTTGGATTCTGTCCACTATAACTGAGTAGTAATTTAAAGACAATAAGGAAACCAACAATTTTGGATCATTTACTTTCAAAATTAAATACTTTAAGCTGAGTTTAATTTAATCTTTCTTGACATTTAACAATATTATATACACACACATATATATATACAAGTTATAAAAACATATAAAATATAAGAACCATGACACATATATAAATAGGAAAGAATATAAAACCTCAATTTTAAATGTTAAAATTGTTATTCTCATATTTAAAAACTTTAAACATTATGAATGTACAGAAGTTCACTATAGCTCATTGACTACTTGATAGTTATAACTTACTTTAAAAATCTTCAAATATATACTTTTCTAATGTGTTAAAAATTTTATACAACTTTATTTACTAAAATTTCAAATTCAGGTAAAGGTACAGGGTATTGGAAAGGATATCATGTAGTACAGAGACTTGTAAATAGTTAAATAAAAACTGTAATTATAGCTGGCCCTTAATAAGGAGGGAAATTGACAGGACTTCCCTCTTCGTCTTCAAACTGTTCAGAAACAGCAACAGGACTAGTTAATTCAACTCCAAATTGTTCAGAAAGGTTGTTTAACTTCTCTTCTAAAAGAATTTTTTTTTTCACTTCTTTGTAGTTATACTTGAGATCTTCGATTTCTTCAAAAAATGACGAATCAACATTTTCCAGTTCTTCAGCTTTTTATTTCCTCCTAATAGAAACATATCGTCTTTAAAAGACATCAATAAATATATAATACACTTCTTAGGTTTAAACTAAAGAGATTTAATTATAAATGAGCACCAAAGTAACCTGAATAGCAAATATAAAGATTGAAGTATTAAGATTTTGTTAATAAGATTTTATTGTGCAGTATAAGTAACTAACTTGTTAAATGCCACATCAAATGACCTGTTATTTAAGTTTTGTCCTAGTCTTTGACTAAAATTTATTAGCTCTTAAATTAGAGGGGGATTTCATCTTTCTCCAAAAGCACACTCTCAAATACTCAGTGAGGCAAGCAAAAAGACATGGCTATTCACAGCATTAAGGTTGTTTTGGTTAATATTCTTTAGCTTAAGCTTCATTTATATTTTCTTTACAAATATCTAATTTGTAATGAATAAAGGTCAATTTCTTATAAATATATTTATGATCAGGGAAATTCTAGGGCTTCTTGCCTGGCTAAGAGCTATGCATCTGGTGAAGAGGCAATCTGAGCTTTAGAATAGCCAATAATCACTACTTAACTTTCTTATCATGTTCTTTTCTATTTACAGATTCTTGAAAGACATAAAGCATAGCAAATATCTTTTTTAAGGGAGGGGAACTATTCCTAAAAAGATTTTCAAAGGAAATAAAAGACACTGTTTGCAATGTGACCCAAAAATTAAGAAAATATTAAAATGAGCTCTATATTTGTGACAATTAAAAAATAAATTTACTCTTTAATCCTAAAAATAAAATAAAATAAAAAGTAACAGTCGCCCAGCCAGTGTGACTCAGTGGTTGAGCATCGACCTATGACCCAGGAGGTCACTGTTCGATTCCCGGTCAGGGCATGTGCCCAGTTTGTGGGCTCGGTCCCCAGTGTGGGGGGTGTACGAGGCAGCTGAATGATGATTCTCTCTCATCATTGATGTTTGTATCTCTCTCTCCCCCTTCCTCTCTGAAATCAACAAAATATTTTTTAAAAAAGTAATACTCAATGAATTCTACAAAATCCTAAAAGAAAATGTAAATGGGCCAGCTGCAGCAAGTGCCCTGTGTGATCTCTTTGGCTTTTC